TGGCTTCAAATAGCTGATACGTGACTCTCTGGCGGGAGGCCTTAATCTCTTAATGTCTCCTTGTGTGTCGTAAATATCAGGACACTGGAAAGTACCCACACAGGCAGCAGAACTGTTACCACATGTTCACCAAAAGAAAGACAAATGTACTTTTGTCATATTTGTACGTCTTGAGAAAATCAATCTAACGAGGCACTCCAAGGGATCCTTGCTCATGACGCCACTGTTGCTCTGTTTGCACAATACCCCCCTCCCCTTACCCCTCACCCGTCTTCACAATGGGTCATTCCGCTAAATCTTCTTGCTTGTAGCTTTCCCGTTAAAGTCGGAGGAAGGTTTTTACGTCAGGTGACATCCAGCCCACATTTACCGGTACTTTCATACTCTTTCAACTTTTAGTGAGCTCTTGCCTTTTAATCATTCTGAACCGGAATGAGGGATTTCAAAACTGACTTTACCTTTTGATACACACATTTGTCAGAGCCAATTGACTTCCGGATGATTTCAACACGCTCAGCTCAAAAGATTTAATAGAACACGCATGCTTTGCCTCTTATTTGGAAATTTGCGTGCGAGAGAGAGCTCTTCAAAGTGTGTTGGAGTCCATGCTTACCTCAACTTTGTCGCTATCATTTTTAATGTATTTAGAAAAAGCAAGTTGTCTTGTTAAAATAAATTGCTATGTGTGTAGCTATGGTATGATTTGTCATAATAAAGTAATAATAGTTGCTTAAGAGGTTGGAAAACCTGCTAAATTTTGCAAAAACATTGCTGAACTGGCACCGCTGCAGACACAAGTCGTAGCTCTTGCTTGCTACCTGTCCACACATGTGCACATGAAATAACAGCGCTACTTTCAAATTGAAAGCACTGCATAATTTATGTTTGATTTCAAGGTCACTGTGAGGGAGACTGGGCGGGCTGCATATGGCACCCAGGCCGTATTCGACAGGGTCTGCTCTAAAGGAAGAACACCGCTTGCTGCCCCTTTCACACTGCCCCGCAAAAGCTCCCCTTTCACAACTTTTTTTCTCCATTTAGTCTGAAATGTGACTGCAAACAGCTGTGTGAGTCACAAGACCTTGTTTGCTGCATTTCTGCCTCTGCCACGCACAATCTCACCTCTTTCTTGCAAGCAATAAACTATAAAGAGAACTGCTGGGGGTTTCAGTCCAAGAACAACATCTCGGCTTCCTGTTGTGAAGCACCAACTTGAAACCACCTCGGCCCGGAATGTTCCCGACAAACGCTGACACGGGATTCAAGCCCCTCCTGCACTTCCGAGGAACTTGTTATTGTCGTCTCACACACACACACACACACACACACACACACACACACACACACTTGCAAAGTCATGTGATGTTTGTTTTCCGCTTACAAAGATTCCCAACTCGGACACATGTTAAAACAGTTTTGAGTTTTGATCTTGAATCTTGATCCCCTTTAAAGAGCGAGCCGATTGGTCGCCACTTAGGCTTCTGTCTTCCTCCTCGTCTATTTCGGAATGTTTGTCACTGGAGGGCCCTGACCTTCCCGCACTTCAGCGGAGCCTCGAGAACAGGGGCGGGTGGGGGGTAGCAGATTGTGGGAATGAAGGATGAAGGGCGGGACCATCAGACCCTGAAGGGAGGCGGGAGAGAGCGAGCAGGGATTCGTTTCCCATCCTGCGTTGAATTTGTGATATCGTGCTTTTATGTAAGTCACTCCACAAGCAGGGAGTGCGTAGCTCCTTTCACCAGGGTCTTGCATTCTGAAAAATGTAAAGAAGGGGGCGGGGGGAGGAGTGTAGAAGCCAGCTTTGATGGGGAGTGTGAAAGGGGCTACATGTGACATTCCACTTTTGACTTTTGGGAGGTTTCTTAAGCGTCCCATTGTATGAGGACCTTTCATACTAAATCTTTTGGTGCTCTTGTGTATTAATTGGTAGGTATCGGTGTAAAATGTGATTTAAGTCAACCCGCAACTTTGTGTGCTTCTAACATAAAAACGCAAAGTGGAATGTCAGCTGCCCCTTTCACACTACCTGTTGAAGCCAGGCTTCTTCGCCGCAATTTTGTCCATTTCACACTCCCCTTCAGAATTGGCTTTTTCTCATATTTTTCTTTGGCTTTCTCTTTGTTGATTTCAACTGCCATTCTGTATCGGTACCTTTAATGCAGGAAATACCACCCGTTGAATGACCAACAACCCTGATCCACGTTCATCTATAAAACTAGCTGGACCACACGGTGCCTTTGCTCTCTGTTCACCATGCATACCACTACCTGCACACCAATTTCCAGCGATATTATTTAACCATGTCATTTACAATGTCTACACTACTTTTGAAAAAACTTCTAGGCAATATTCTGCCTCAGACGACTGGAAAAGTCTGCAACAATGACAACAACAAAAATTCACCAGGTCCATCCCAGTAACATCATTGAAAACGTTAGCAAGGAATAACGTTTTATTCACCGTGTGCTATGATGCTTCGTAACACATTATGTAACTGTGTCATACTCTACAGTTTGATCAGTGTCGCTCTGTTTCCTAACTGAGGTGACATCATCTTTATTTCGTGCTTCCTCATTCCTGGTTGGGAATGTCACAGTTAGTGTTCAACATGACGAAGTAAATCCTCTCATTTTTGGGCCCCTCGTGACAGCAATCACAGCGAAGTGGATCCACATGGATGTCTTATGGACGGATTCCCAGAATTCCCCATGATGATGTCACTCCAGCGTTACAGCTGCATGTCAGTCCTCGTCCAGGTTTTGAGTGTTTAGGTTTTGATCCAAACAACTGAGGATGCTCAAAAATCCAGAGAAGGTTCCATTCCACCTGTTGCATAATAGCACAGAGCTGGAGAGCATAGATCTGCTGTAAAGGGGGGTAACTTGGCACAGCGCCAACGTCACAAAGTGGCATGAATATGGACTATTTCCTGTTTGCTCTCCTTCTGTTCCGTAACTTCCAGCACATCCCAAAGGTTGCCAAAATAACACCCAAAGTAGTGTGTGTGAAATTATATGTGATGGGCATTGTGAAAGGGGCAAGAGGCAGTATTTTGCTGGTGATCCTACGTCATCCATCCATTTTCAATTGCGCTTATCCTCACAGGGGTCACAGGCGTGCTGGTTTGCCACTCCAACAATCGGATACTGTCGGACGCCTGCAAATTCACAGCTCAACTTAAATTACCCATTCTGTACCTTTCACACAAGACAAACTACCAGGGAAAAACTTGATCGGCAGTGTGAAAGGGACTATCTGTGTTGTGCTGTTGTGGACCTCACATGGGGCCTCCTGGCTGGGCTGGAGGGGGTTTTGGTGTGGGGAGAGTGGGGGGTGTCTCAGCATGTGGTGACACCTGGGGGGGCTGGGGCCTCACCATGAGGTCAAGTGGAGAGCCGTAATAATTACATTTTGATTTATTTAGGTGATGTCATACCCCCCCCAACGCGCACGCGCGTGTGTGTGTGTGTGTGTGTGTGCGCGCGCGTGTGCGTGCGTGCGTGTGTGCGCACGCGTGTGTGATGTAGGCACATGTTGCAGAGTCCTTGTATTTATCTTCTCTTCACATTCCAGTCACTTTTCAAAGGGTCGGGAGAAAAAAAATGAGGGTTTCTACAATGTGAAATTACATTGGATGTTACGATGTAGTGATATGATATTGATGTTATCATGCTACGGTCTTGATGTTGTGATGTTGTCATGCTACAATGTTTAATGTTACAGTGTTATGATGATGCGTTGGGACAATGTCGGGTTGCTGTTTTGCTTGAGTTACAATGTCATTATGCAATGTTTGATGTTACCATGTTGTGAGACTATTGGTACAATGTTGGCATACTGCAATATTGTGAAACTTATGCTACAATGTTGTAAAGGTACAATGCAGTGATGTTGCAATATCGTTGGGACGATACTAATTTTCTGTTATGTGTTGTGATGCTGCTTCATCAGAAAAAATGCTACTCAAGCACAAAGCACAAATATTTTGTAAAGTGTGTGTGTGAGGGAGGGGGGCAGGGCGGGGGGGGGGGGGAATTTTCCCTCCAGGTTCCCTCAGGACTGTAAACTGTGAGAGCCAGCAGACACAATGCTGACAACACACATGTGCCTAATTATTATCTTCATCATCTTCCTCATCACACATAAGAGTACAGCTGAGTGTGTGACTCTTCCTGTACATATTAGCACAAGCAATACAGTATTTGTAAGATTAGAGTTAACATGTTTTGAGAGCCCAGCAGCAAAATGCAAATTGTCTCGTGTAACCCAAACTGCATAAGCGTTGATTAAATATACAGTATTGTCACATTCAGCGTGTCAGGCATTAAATTGTAAATAAGACAACTTGAGTGTCTTATTTATAACCTGCACAGGTATGTGCAGGTTATGAACATATAATGACTGATCATGAGTACAGTAATATTATGATGCTATGTTAATATGTACAGTTTAATTAGGCAGTGTACAGTCCAAATACATGATGTATTTTCAGATGGACCAGTTGGGGTCTTTGGGTTGTTTTTAGTTTCTACTATCCTGCTGTTAATCAAATTAAACCACAAGACACACACGCTCGCACACAATCCACAATCCACAATAAGAGATCCGGTAGTGATCAAAGGGGTTATTTTAAACCCTCCACGACCATTAGCACCTTTATAGCACCTTAGCACCTTTACCTATTTAATGAAATAACCATGCGCGAATCCTCTTAATCCACACGCCAGCACTTTGATTAGCATTTTGTGGCTCATCAAGTCAAAGGAAATCATACCGGAAGCCAACCTTGCCTTGAAAAAATGTCAAAGTAAAAGAATAGGAACTAAAAGTTTATGTATGTCCTTATAAGTTGTTAATAGTCATTAAATACATTTTATTTTTAATATAGTTGTTCTGATTGACACTTATTCACCAAGAATCGTTTTAAACAATAGGAACTGAAGACTATTATTTTATTTTGAAAATAACTAATAGGATGTGTTTATCTCCATCACTTAACACTTCTTGGTGGCCACACACTAGTTGTCTGGTCCACCGGAGGAGTGTCTACCGACAGTCCGTCTTCAAGAGGTTTATTTAAAGGTGGGCTCCGTCGTCGCCACCACGAAAACGTTTGCTTCAACGAAAGAGGATGAAAATATGAAACGAAAGAGGATGGTTTCGGAACCACGCGTCCCTTTTTAGGTAAATATCAGCCGCACACACACCAGTCAAGAAGTGGGGGATTTCATTATTGACTCAATATTTTTATTAACATGAATAACAAAAAGAAAAAACGATAAAAAAGAAAAAAAACGTCAGAGTAAGCTGTGAACACGCTGTGATACGCCCTTTGCGAGCAGGAGGTGGTTTCTATCTACCTTTAAAACCGCCTTAAAGCAATCTCTGTTGCATTTTTGCGACGGAGTCGCATTTTTAACGCACGTGAAGATGTTGGTGGAGATAAAAACTGGTGACATCAAAAAACTGTGTGTGTGTGCGCGCGTGTGTGTGTGTGTGTGTGTGTGCGTGTGTTTGTCTGTGCGTGTGCTTGTGTGTGTGCGTGCGCGTGTTTGTGTGTGCGTGTGTTGTGCGTGTGCGTGTGTTTGAGTGTGTGCGTGCGCGTGTTGTGTGTGCGTGTGTGTGTGTGTGTGTGTGTGTGTGTGTGTGTGTGCAGAAGAATATTTTATTTTTTGTATATGTTTTTAAAGTTTAAAACTAAGACCAACAAGACAACAAATTTGGCTACTTTTGAAATGTGACTAGCAAGAACTACATAATAGCAACCGTGACAGTTTAGATGATGACGTCTGTCCTGCGTGAGTTACTCTCGTGACATCACCGTCAAGGGTCCCTGAGTGGGACACAAACAAACAGAACAGCAGCAGTGCAGGAGAGGTAGATGCCAAGCTAAAGTCCTTGGCTGTGTTCAAATCACTCCTGATCTACAACATTGGACCCCCCACATATTTGTGGTTTGGCACCCGCGGATTCACCTCTTCGCAGATTTTTTTTTTTAATTACTATTTTTTTCTTAATCTCTCTCTCTCTCTCCCTCTCTCTCTCTCTCTCTCTCTCTCTCTCTCTCTCTCTCTCTCTCTCTCTCTCTCTCTCTCTCTCTCTCTCTCTCTCTCTCTATACTCTCTGTACTGTAAAAATGTTATTACTGTTCCATTTGACAATATATTTATAGCTTTGTATTATTGGTCACTTTGTAACCTATAAAATTTCAGAAAATGAGGAAAACCAATCTTTGCCCTGAGCCCCACTCCGTCACAAAACTTCATAGGAATATTTATCCTCATCCTCCAGGTAGTAGTACTGTATATGCTTGTCATTATTATTATTTCACTGTGATTGGCTGCTTGTCTAGAGAATCACTTGCTGCTAGCAGCTCTGGAGCTCGCGGAGATTTTGTAAAAACGGAGTACCGGTACTGATCCAAAAAAGACAGCGTTTTTGACTGATAAGCTTTAATGGGAGTCACCTGGAACAAAAGCAGAAAGTAACTAGTGATTTACCAGAAATATGGAAAAAGCGGAGATTCATTAGACAGCTTCGATAAGCATGAATAACGTACCATGCACACCAGTGGTGTTGTGTCTTTCAGCATGTCCCAATGCACAGTAATTCTACTTTATAAAACCAATTTATTTCTTAACATTGTCTTTTCACAATTCATCCCTATTTCGTAATTAATTACATGGAGTAAAAGTTTCCGAACACATTGCAAAAGTAGGCAAATTTGTTGCCAAGTGCTTTTTGGAAACAAAGTCGCTCGGGTAGTCTGAAGAGCTGTGAAATCAAGTAACAAAAAGTGGACAATTGGTGCTCTCATGCATTCCTTTATGTGTATGCATCTTAAGTAGAGGATGATAAGTAAGTCAACAGCTAAAAGAAGAGGGGATGGAAGGGGTGGGGGTGAGGGTGGGGGGTCTGTATGGTCTTGGCGCCAAAAAGGATGCTTAGAACAGAACCAGATGTCACAGAGATGACATCACCAGGTGTTGGAATGCTTGTTTGTTTGTGAACACAGTCAGAAAAAAGAAACCTTTCCAAGTTAAGCTTTTTCCTCAGTTGAAATGCATACAGCTCTTAAAAGTTCAGCAGTTGACCACTGTTGATGATAAAAGGCAAAAGCAATTAGTCTTAACTTTCATGGTGAATTTGATGTCACTTGAAGTTTCATTTGCATGCAACTCTGTGTTATGTAACATTCTTATGCTCAAAAGAAAATGCTAAATGCTTTGTATGTGACATCACTTCCTTTCTTCTTTCCCCTAGATGACTACTTTTTAAATATGGCCAAAAAAAAAAAAAAAAAGCCAATAAAAAGCAAAACTCATGCATGCAATGAGTTAATTCCTAGATATGTATGTATATGATATTTATTGTGTACCTAATGAAGTGGCCAGTGAATGTACAGTGTGTGTGGCTTTCTAACTGCAGTTAATGCAATTCTATGGACTGTTACACACAACACAGATAAAACTGTGTGTGAGTGTGAACATTCACAGGGGCGCTTCACATGCCATCGTCATGACGACACAGACTGAAAACTCACTGCCCGATTGTAACTTGGCCAAACCACAATTACTGTACATTAGCTAACTGAGGACGATTGTTAGGCCGCTTTTGAAGGAATCCTACTACCAATGTACAGTAAATCTACTAAAATGTAATAAATTAATAAAAATACCCCTGATTAAATGCAAACATTATTAAATACATATTGTTTGCTCTCTGCTCAGATTCAAGAAGAAGACGAAAAAGTCACCCAGAGAACTTTGCGCCGTCCTGGGTGTGGAAGCGTCTTCCTGGACCGTTTGTACGCCATCGTGGTGGTGTCTCCGACATCTTCCGAGCACGCCCAAGTGGTCCGAGGTATCCGGTGGAGGCGACGAGTCGCCCCGCAGGATGCCCGCCAAGACCCCCATGTACCTGAAGACCACCACACCCAAACGAGGCAAGAAGGCCAAACTGCGTGACGTGCTGTCTGGTGATATGATCAGCCCCCCGCTGGGCGACGTGCGCCACAGCGCCCATGTGGGGCCGCAAGGCGAGCAGGACATGTTTGGAGACGTGGGCTTCCTAAGGGGAAAAATGGACATGTTACCGGCGCGTAACGGTGACGCTCGCTCGCATAGCGTGGACGAACGCCACGGAGACGTGTCCGCCACCTCGGACTACTCCTACAATGGATTCCACTACCAGCCCTCGTCCTCTGGCTTGTTGAAGAACACCATCTCCATGCCCGTCTTCATCGCACACGAGCAAGCGCCGCCCAAACCGCCACGCCTGCACCTGGATGATGCCAAACAACGGCACTTACAGCCTGCTGACAAGCAGCAGGGACAGTGTACCTCGGAGAACAGCGGCCGGGACATCTCCCTGTCCCCCTCCCTCCGCCGACTGGTGCCCTCATCCGGATCCTTCTCGGAGGTGTCATCGGAGGAGTCAGTGTTGGACGGGTGCATGCCACTAGATGAGCAGCGAGGCCTCAGTCTGGACTCGGACGCCGGTCTGAGCAACGAGGACCTGCGCAGCGATTCGCCGTGCGGACTGTTCCTGCGATCGGACTCCGCGGCAGACCTGGACCTGGATCTAGGGCCCTCCATCCTGGATGACGTGCTGAGGATCATGGACCGCTACAAGGATGTGGACCACCGATGCGAGCTGTGAGCAAATGGAAGATAAGGTGGACAATAAGGCCTTTTACTGAGTCAATGTACTGAAAACCTGACAACATGGCGGACATTTTGGATACAGCACTTCCATAAAGTACTTACAACGCTTAACTGTTTCCACATTTTATGTTACAGCTTCATTGCAAAATTTATCAAATGTATTATTGTTCCTCAAAGTCTGCACATATGATCCTAAAATGACCAAGTGAAAAGTTATCTTTTTTTATTTTTGCAATTTTGTAAAAGGTAATGAACTAAATGTGGTAAAATTGAAGTGCTGTGAATGAAAAATGTGTCACTTTTCTTTCTAAATTTTATTACATTTTCCTCAGAATTCCTAGGCACAATACCCCATATGACGTGAACATATTTTTTTTCAAATTTTTGTTGAACTAAAGGCAGAAAACTTTGTTGTACAACGCGTTTGAATAGTATGCACAATGCTTCACTTTATTTTTTTTCCTCATTTTACAGTATGTTACAGCCTTATTTCAATTTTTTCACACCCTTTAAAATTCTATACGCACCATCCTGTAAGGACAATGGTGAAACATTTGTTTCAAATTTTTCCAAATGTATAAAATATGAAGTCTAATTTTGTGCTTTGTGGGAAAAAAAAAGATGGAAGGGGTTGATAATGTTTCAAGGGTATTAAAAATCACAAAAAAAACAAAATCACATTAGGCTTTGGTGCATCGCGTGGCAATTTTTTTTTTTAATACCATAACCCAAATTTCCAGAAATCTTCTTTCATTTTGTCATTATGGAGTGTTATGTGTAGAATTTTGAGTGGTAACAGGCTACAACAAAACATTGAAACATTAAAGTGCTGTGAATACTTTGCGGATGCTTTGTTTTTTGCTAGGTGGTGACAGGCTCAGGCTGGTCCTCAAGAGCTTTATCGCAGCAATCTTTAATACCCGTTAGTGTCATTTTATCTCATGTGAAGCTGTGAACACCTGTAGTCCAAAATCATGCAAACGGTTAACAAATGCTTTCTATATAATAGAAGAAATCAGCATTTTTTCCACAATTTAAAACAGATTTCAGGTGTTTTACTATGACGTTTGCGGCATGCTTTTGTCCAACTATTCCAATGATTTACACATCCTTCATAAGCCTGTTTTGAGGTCCTGGCTCATACAAAGGAGTCACTGCTCACCCTGCCCCCCCTCGACTGTGAGCCCAACCCCGAGTACGGTTTTAGTTACTTGTGATCTCAAAAGTGCGATATACTAACAGACACATTTTCAAAAATAGTCAGGGAACTAAAGATTGATTTGTTTGCTAATTTCACACTTGATGGGTGGGCAGGAGCTCATGACTATGTGTATGAAACCATTCCAAAATCACTTTTAATAATGTGACCCCTTTAATACCATAAATTCTCTGCAATAACAAAAATTGTTGTCATATTATTTATATGTATATTCTGTCCAAATTGGCCACTCACATCAGTAATATATAACTTGATATGTGTCTCAGAAGCTAATGGAAAACTGCTTTTACATAGCTAACTAAAAATGTAGAGTGCTTCTTGTCCAACTGATTTTGACTGACACATACATAATTCTCTTGTTCCATAAGTCATGCATGCTGTGTACATTTCTGTGAATATATCAATAAAAGTCAATTGTGAATAAAAAGAGTCTGATATGGGTTTCATCATATGAACGTAAGTAGGTTATCCTGTATTATTTGTACTAGGCGCAGTATAATTTATGAACATGTCTTCTTAAGATCATTACCTTTGAAAAGTGAAGATAGTCTTTTATAATTACTATTGAACCCAGGGTCAGTAAACAAATTTGCATGCTGTGTACATTTCTGTGAATATATCAATAAAAGTCAATTGTGAATAAAAAGAGTCTGATATGGGTTTCATCATATGAACGTAAGTAGGTTATCCTGTATTATTTGTACTAGGCGCAGTATAATTTATGAACATGTCTTCTTAAGATCATTACCTTTGAAAAGTGAAGATAGTCTTTTATAATTACTATTGAACCCAGGGTCAGTAAACAAATGAAATGCTTATTTAAAACCCCGTAACAAAAAGTCATCAAGAAGAAATTCCATTAAAAAAAAGAAATACATTTTTAAAAGGAACATTTACTTTGACGAATAAAAACGCAATGTTGTAAGCAATATTTGTAGTCCTATGCTACACTAGGTGGCAGTATACCAAATTTACGTCGTCATTTAAGAAAGCGAAGAAGAAGGCACCTGTGTGTCCAGCTTTCTCCTCACAACAAATTTGTCTAGTGTCCATGCAAGCTTGTTAACGCATGAAGTGAGAAAGAGTCACAGAAGGGAAGACATTTAGGAACGATGAAGTGAGTATTCCGTGTGGTTAATATTGACTTTATTCTACTTGAAGACAGACTACCGGCTGTTACGTGCTAGTCATGTCATTTAGCTTCGCGTGAAAACTCAAAGCTAGCGTGACTAGATTGACTTGGATTGACCAATGTTTTTATTTCAATGTTCGTATGATTTCAGGCTCAACATCGACGGTCTGTTGGTGTATTTCCCCTACGATTACATCTATCCTGAACAATACTCGTACATGCTGGAGCTCAAGAGGACGCTCGATGCTAAGGTGGGCAAAGCACATAAGCATATTCTAAGGATTTCATAGCAAAATCTTGGATTTATATGCCGTAGCGTCTTTCAAGGGACTCTCAACAGTAACTAACGGGGGCAGTTAAAATGTATTTCTTGTACAGTGGCAAGTAAAAGTTTGTGAACCCCTTTTAATGACCTGGAGTTACTGCTGAACTTGGTCATGAAATACGATTCGTGTAACGCAGAATGAGTCAAACACCGTAAAATAATAATAATGACTCAATATTACTTTTTGCATTAATAATGCGATGGCATGTTTTAATTTGACACACCAGGTAAACAGTCGGCATTGTTGGAAAAAAACCTCGTGCTGACTTCACTCAGGCGTCAGGAGTCAGCCAGGTGATGTAGGTGTTGGTTAAAGCTGCCATGCCCTAGCAAAACGCTGGTTTTGAGTTTGCTGTACCCTTGTGGATTGCTGTCATTGAAATAATGACCATTTTGTTCCCTTGGTCAGCAACGGTAAGACCAGCAATTGAACAAGAAAAATTGTGTTTGTCTTCTTGCACTTTCAGGGACACGGTGTCCTGGAGATGCCGTCAGGAACTGGCAAGACCATCTCACTGTTGTCACTCATTGTTGCGTATCAGAGGGTGAGTTTGACCCAGTGTTTATTTTCTGGTTCTGTTCCTTGCTTGAGACATACATAATTCTCTTGTTCCATAAGTCATGCATGCTGTGTACATTTCTGTGAATATATCAATAAAAGTCAATTGTGAATAAAAAGAGTCTGATATGGGTTTCATCATATGAACGTAAGTAGGTTATCCTGTATTATTTGTACTAGGCGCAGTATAATTTATGAACATGTCTTCTTAAGATCATTACCTTTGAAAAGTGAAGATAGTCTTTTATAATTACTATTGAACACAGGGTCAGTAAACAAATTACAATTGAACCCAGGGTCAGTAAACAAATGAAATGCTTATTTAAAACCCCGTAACAAAAAGTCATCAAGAAGAAATTCCATTAAAAAAAAGAAATACATTTTTAAAAGGAACATTTACTTTGACGAATAAAAACGCAATGTTGTAAGCAATATTTGTAGTCCTATGCTACACTAGGTGGCAGTATACCAAATTTACGTCGTCATTTAAGAAAGCGAAGAAGAAGGCACCTGTGTGTCCAGCTTTCTCCTCACAACAAATTTGTCTAGTGTCCATGCAAGCTTGTTAACGCATGAAGTGAGAAAGAGTTACAGAAGGGAAGACATTTAGGAACGATGAAGTGAGTATTCCGTGTGGTTAATATTGACTTTATTCTACTTGAAGACAGACTACCGGCTGTTACGTGCTAGTCATGTCATTTAGCTTCGCGTGAAAACTCAAAGCTAGCGTGACTAGATTGACTTGGATTGACCAATGTTTTTATTTCAATGTTCGTATGATTTCAGGCTCAACATCGACGGTCTGTTGGTGTATTTCCCCTACGATTACATCTATCCTGAACAATACTCGTACATGCTGGAGCTCAAGAGGACGCTCGATGCTAAGGTGGGCAAAGCACATAAGCATATTCTAAGGATTTCATAGCAAAATCTTGGATTTATATGCCGTAGCGTCTTTCAAGGGACTCTCAACAGTAACTAACGGGGGCAGTTAAAATGTATTTCTTGTACAGTGGCAAGTAAAAGTTTGTGAACCCCTTTTAATGACCTGGAGTTACTGCTGAACTTGGTCATGAAATACGATTCGTGTAACGCAGAATGAGTCAAACACCGTAAAATAATAATAATGACTCAATATTACTTTTTGCATTAATAATGCGATGGCATGTTTTAATTTGACACACCAGGTAAACAGTCGGCATTGTTGGAAAAAAACCTCGTGCTGACTTCACTCAGGCGTCAGGAGTCAGCCAGGTGATGTAGGTGTTGGTTAAAGCTGCCATGCCCTAGCAAAACGCTGGTTTTGAGTTTGCTGTACCCTTGTGGATTGCTGTCATTGAAATAATGACCATTTTGTTCCCTTGGTCAGCAACGGTAAGACCAGCAATTGAACAAGAAAAATTGTGTTTGTCTTCTTGCACTTTCAGGGACACGGTGTCCTGGAGATGCCGTCAGGAACTGGCAAGACCATCTCACTGTTGTCACTCATTGTTGCGTATCAGAGGGTGAGTTTGACCCAGTGTTTATTTTCTGGTTCTGTTCCTTGCTTGAGAGCATCTTCTGTTTTCTCCTTAGGCGTTTCCTCTGGAAGTCACCAAGCTCATCTACTGCTCCAGAACGGTCCCCGAGATTGAGAAGGTGACTCAAATCAAACCCCTCAAGATGCGCACATGCAGTATGAGATGATACTCTTCTGGCTCACTTTTTTGATGGTGTGTCGAGGTGGTGGAGGAGCTGAGGAAGCTGATGGAGTTTTATTCCAAGGAGACAGGGGAGAGAAACAACTTCCTGGCTCTGGCACTCTCCTCCCGCAAGAACCTCTGTGTCCACCCAGAGGTGAGCCTGTTTTTTTTTTTTTTTTAAATGTAATTAATTAATTTATTTATTTATTTAAAATAAAGTAATGCAAATTATCTTATATCTAATTTTTATCTGATTCATCTGTTAATTGACAGATTAATTTAGAATTAAAATCCCTCAGGGGATATCATTGTCATATATAAAATTATCTCAATAATTTAAAAATATTAAAATGTCAATTGGCAATTAGTGTTCCAAATAGTCATGATGTTGATATGATGTCATGAATCATTGTATTTGAACCTAGTTAATCTTTTTTTTTTTGGATTGTTTCCCAATCAAAATGAACACTTAATTTGTAACTTTTTCTTCTCATTACAATGATTTGAAATACCTTTCTATATTGGCTGTTTCAGGTGAGCAGCCTGCGTTTCGGAAAGGAAGTGGACAGTAAGTGTCACAGTCTGACAGCGTCGTACATTCGCGCCCAACGTCATAGCAACCCCGACCAGCCCGTCTGTCACTTTTACGAGGTAAACCCCACACCGCTTACCTCCACTTCCTGCTCGATGAGAGCTGAACAAAGTTCTCCGCTGTGCTCACCAGGAGTTTGACGCGGTGGGCCGGCAAGTGCCGCTTCCCGCTGGCATCTACAACCTGGACGACCTGAAGGACTTTGGCCGCAAGAAAGGATGGTGTCCCTACTATCTAGCACGCTACTCGGTACAAACAAAATACAATGAAAAAAGCAGGGACCTAAATTGAATGCTCCAGAACACCATACACCAGTCACACAGACCCCAGGAAAGGCAGGATATTGTCACGACAATGCTGTAAACACGAGTTCCTTGATTGGAGATCACAACAGCGTCCATGTTTGTGTTGCTGTGGTCAGATCCTGCATGCTAATATTGTGGTGTACAGCTACCACTACCTGCTGGACCCCAAGATAGCAGACCTGGTGTCCAAGGAGCTGGCCAAGCAGTCTGTGGTGGTCTTTGACGAGGCGCACAACATCGGTGAGTGTCACTTTGCTCTGTTCTGACTGCAGCTAAAATTCCATACGTGACTTATGGAGCGTTTCCCGTCCTCGGTAGACAATGTGTGCATCGACTCCATGAGCGTCAACATCACCAGGCGGACGCTGGATCGTTGCCAGGGTAATGTCGACATGTTGCAGAACACCATACACAAGTAAGAACATGTCTGACATATCTTTTAGTTTGAGGAGGAACTAAAAGTTCCCGGTACTTGCCGTGGAAATGCAGTTATGAGTTCAGGGACAATTAAGGACCTAAGTTGATATCATCAGCTTTTTGCCTTTGACAGCATCAAAGAGACTGATGCTGCCAAACTGAAGGAGGAATATCGACGCCTGGTGGAAGGCTTGAAGGAAGCCAATGTGGCGCGGGAGACAGACGTCTACCTCGCTAATCCCGTGCTGCCGGACGAGATCCTAAAAGGTAAAAGAACGCCCCAGGCATGAATATTGTAAATTTTCTGATTGACTGATCGTTTGGATGATGGTTACAGAGGCCATTCCGGGCACCATCCGGACCGCCGAGCACTTTGTGGGCTTCCTGAGGCGCTTCATGGAGTACTTGAAGTCCCGCCTGAGGGTGCAGCACGTGGTCCAGGAGAGCGCCCCGCAGTTCCTCAAAGACATCTTTGACAAAGTCTGCATCGACCGCAAGCCTCTCAGGTCCCCACCGCCACCATCACTTATCAGTCCTGTGACATGTCACATGTGGCCTCACTCCTGATTGGACGGCGTCTCGCAGGTTTTGCGCCGAGCGTCTGCAGTCGCTATTACGGACGCTTGAGATCACCGACATTGCTGACTTCTCCGCCGTCACGCTCATCTCGAACTTTGCCACGCTGGTTAGCACATACAGCCAAGGTGCGATTGCCAATGGAATCCCGACCGCCTTTTTACTTCAAATGTTCATATTTATGTGTGTGACATAAAAATTCTGAAGGATCTTTATTTATACTCTAAAGAGCCTCAATTTAAATCTAAAAGTACCTCCAATTTGATTCAACGTTAAGCTCTCATTTTGGTTTAAAATTCCCGCTTCCTGTGGTTTAAAAAAAATCCTTTTTGAGTCCATAGTTCCTCGGTTTTGATTCAAAACGACCTCCATTTTAGCACTAAATTTAATCTTTCACCTCAAAGGTTTCACCATCATCATTGAGCCCTTTGAAGACAGAACGCCGACCATCGCCAACCCCGTGTTGCACTTCAGGTATGTGGCCCTTCAGTTTTGCATTCCTGCCACCTGCAGGACTGGAGGGGAATTGTATAATTTGAAACTTTTGGTGGTTAATTGTTTAAATCTTATCTTGTAGAGAACTAAATTTGAGAAAATATTTAAATTTTAGAGAAATTTTTTTTTCTTTTTTAGGCAAAAGGTTTTTTTGGGGGGGGGGGGAGAAAAAAAAATATCATGTCTGGAGGGGAATTGTATAATTTGAAACTTTTGGTGGTTAATTGTTTAAATCTTATCTTGTAGAGAACTAAATTTGAGAAAATATTTAAATTTTAGAGAAATTTTTTTTTCTTTTTTAGGCAAAAGGTTTTTTTGGGGGGGGGGGTAGAAAAAAATGTATCATGTTTCAAAACGTACTATATGATCTCTGACTTGTCTCTGACCCTCAGCTGCATGGACCCGTCCATCGCCATCAAACCTGTCTTTCAAAGGTTCCAGTCAGTCATCATCACGTCGGGGGTAAGTCCTTCGGTCTCCGCGTACAGGTTTTGCCCTGTCTGCAACCCTTCACCATCTCCCATGTTTGTTCTGGCCAGACGTTGTCTCCGCTGGACATTTACCCTCGCATCCTGGACTTCCGGCCTGTCACCATGGCGTCTTTCACCATGACACTGGCGCGAACCTGCCTCTGCCCGCTGGTGTGTGTGCACACGCTAGTTTGAATAGCTACAGTATGAAGACTAAAATTTAACTTTTTTTTTGTTGTTGTTGTGGCCATATAGACACATTTATGGCTTATTATATATGGCCACCACTTGGGTATAATGTGGCTTTAATGTCATTCCCATCAACAACTTTGACATCTTAGCTTACAAAATACAATGTGTAATGTTCTGTACCTTAAAGTTTTCAGAGAAGGTGCACTCGATTGTTTTAGCCACCTGTCCAGCAAAATTAAATATTACTAATTGTATTTTGTGTGAACGCGCTACCTATTTTGTGGGCACATGTTTGAATGACGTGCCCGGAGATGATCATTATATGTTTGCATTATATCTGCAGTGAGGTCGCAGTTTTGCCCCTATGTCACTTCTGTCATCCTGACTTGCTTCACCTTTCCATTTTCCTGTTTTTCCAGATTGTCGGGCGAGGAAACGACCAGGTGGCTCTGAGCTCCAAGTTTGAGACTAGAGAAGATTTTGGTGAGTAGAAAGCAGCATTCCCAACATCTTGGAAATATTAGGGTTTTTTTTCTGTGTCAAATTCAGATAATTGTACATTTCATCTATGTATTATACTAAAATACAAAAAAATGTATGAATACACTTTGATTAGATTATGTATCAAAAAAGTAAGTGTGTGTGTGTGTGTGTGTGTGTGTGTGTGTGTGTGTGTGTGTGTGTGTGTGTGTGTGTGTGTGTGTGTGCGTGCAGTTCAACAGCAAAATAACTGAATTTCAACTTGGCTAAATGTGGCCCTGCTCAATGGTATTTGAAAATTGTCTTGAGCAGTGCCGTTGACACATTTAAGTAAATTTAACCTCCAAATTTCCTCTTCCAAATTTCATATGCAGAAAAATTAAAATTGATTTTGTTTTCTAGCTGTGATCCGTAACTACGGCAACCTGCTCCTGGAGATGTCCGCTGTGGTTCCTGATGGCATCGTGGCATTTTTCACCAGCTACGTCTACATGGAGAACATTGTGGCATCCTGGTACGAGCAGGTCAGCATTTTGTTTCCTCGCAAGCTCTCTGTTAGCATCAGGCTCACATAGCGACTATACATAGGTTTGTTTTTTTTTTGTTTTTTTTTTTTTATGGTCTCAGGGAATTCTGGAGAACATTCAGAAGAACAAGCTGATCTTCATCGAGACGCAGGATGCCGCAGAGACCAGCATGGCGCTGGAGAAGTACCAGGAGGTGATGTCTATGTCGAAGTCAGGATTTTAAGGGGCTTTGCCCACCACCTTCTTCCTCCTATTTTGTCTTTCTCTTGACAGGCGTGTGAGAATGGCAGAGGAGCCATCCTGTTGTCAGTGGCACGGGGGAAAGTATCAGAGGGGATCGATTTTGGTAAATGTGGGAAAAACAAATTTGTCATAGTGTTGCCTGAAATTACAACAATTTCCTGATGAACTAGTAAAGGGGGGGGAAAAAGTCTACCAGCCGTTTTAGATCATTTTAATATTTTGTTCTTTTTTTAAATTTATTTGTATTATTTTATTATTTTTATTTATTAAATATTTTGTTTTATTATTTTATTAATTATTTAATATTTTCAGACGTATGTGTACAGTTAAACACACACACCATATGTCTCGAAAATGCTGAAACGTTAATTTTTAAGGTCTTATTTTTGTTCAAGTTCTATTTTAAGGAAGGGTCGTTCTTTCAAGAAAATGCTTTGTTCTTTGTGGTTTTTTTTTTTTTTACATTTTGAGAACTTTTTCTATGAAGAAGAGAGGTTGTTTTAGATTTTTTGCTTCATTCTTATTTTTTTGAATTAAAAGATTTTGTTGGGGGCAGGAAAAGATTTTTGGGAGAAGAAAACCATTCTTTTGTTTTTTATTGGTGTGGGAGGTTATATTCTTTAAAGTATTTTTGGAAAGTAGAAATCATATATAACCGTAACCTTATTAGAAAAAGTGAATACATTGCATGTCAAACATTCAGTAACTGTTTTGTTTGTGATCAGTGCACCACTTTGGCCGAGCGGTCATCATGTTTGGCGTTCCGTACGTTTACACACAGAGCCGCATTCTCAAGGTAACAGATCTCCTCCTCCTTCGCCCTTGTACTGTGAACACGCTTCATTTCTACTTGGATGATGTGGCTGTGTGCCGTTGCACAGGCCCGTCTGGAGTACCTGCGTGACCAGTTCCAGATCCGTGAGAACGACTTTCTCACCTTCGACGCCATGCGACACGCCGCGCAGTGCGTCGGCCGAGCCATCCGAGGAAAGACCGACTATGGACTCATGATTTTTGCTGACAAGGTAATTTGGTGTTTTGTTCACGTCAAGTGGCATCAGTTTCAATTTTGTACTGCTGCTGTTACCCTCAAAAGATGGACACTGATTGGGTTTATTTTGAGCTAGCTAGATCATGCCCACTAAAGATTAGTTTGAAATTTTTTATTTCTGTTTGTTTGTGATGGCTGTCCTCTTCCTACGGCAGCGTTACGCCCGAGCGGACAAGCGCGGGAAGCTTCCTCGCTGGATCCAAGAGCACATTAACGATGGCAGCCTCAACCTCACGGTGGATGAGACCGTTCAGCTGTCCAAGCATTTCCTCAGACAGATGGCTCAGCCCTTCAGACAGGTCAAACTCAAACAAACATAGCCGACCGTAAACTCCCGTTTTTATCGCCACCTGCCCTAGAGGAAATTCCATGATAAAGAGAGAACAGAAAGCATTTTTGTTTTCAGTTGTACCAGTCCCACATGCTTTAAACACATGTCCACTTACTAAGTCACATCTGTTCTCATTCTCACTCATTCAGTTCTCCACCTGAGTGGGTAAGCGTGCTAAGATGTTCGTCACTCTCAAGTTAAATTTTCGGCAACGCTGACACATCAAACAAATTAAGCATTGTATATTTAAACGCAAAAATGTTCCAACGTATTCTACGTTCCGGTCATGATTAACTGTTCACATGAGTACTTCTCACCAGGTAATCAAGCCACCATTATTTTTTAGAGCGACTCAAGACGTTTGGTATCGCTAACCGTTCTGTGCACCATGTGTCACACCCTGCTGTACAGGAGGACCAGCTGGGCTTGTCTCTACTGACGCTGGAGCAGCTGCAGTCGGAAGAGATGCTAAAGAAGATCGCTCAGATGGCTCATCAGAGCTAAAAGTGCTCCCGGTCGACTCCCAAAATCATCACGATCATAACTATGTTGTTAGTGCAAACCAGTGATAACACATGAGTGGAAAGTCACTCTTCGGATCGTCTGTTGTACAGACATTGATGTACTTAAACTGTTCATGTGACATTTTATGTGTAGATAGCTTATCATTTAGTCTTTTTTTCAGTTACACCGGAGGTCACTGACATAGTTAAGTGCCTTTTAATTTTCTTGTCAGATTCACTCAGTCATCATGGAAAATGGAGCAGAATAATTAATTCGGGTCTTATTGCAAGAAGCAAAATATTTCCTCGTATACCAGTAGTGATGGGTCCATGAGGCCTCATAAGGTGTGTCGACACACTGTGTTGATACTGTGCTGATACTGTGTCGCTGACCACGTCCATGCATTCATATTGTATCATTCAAGGTTAAGATTGCACGATTGTCTGTGTCTCATGTGTTGTCTTGTATTATTTTGTCATTTTTTGTTAACTTTTCTTTTGATGGCGGCGCGGACACCTGCAGCGGCTCCTCTTGTTTTATGTTGAGGGAAGAAATTTCGTTGTATCTATGCAATGACAATATAGTTGATTCTGATTCAATGTGTCTCAATAATGTGAAAATCATGTGAATGACGATGCTTGTGGGCTTTGTCTTCACAAATTTTTATTTAGAAAAATAAGATGCTGCAGTCTTTTAAATTTCAGTTTGTTGCGTTTCTTGCATGCTAGTTCCCCTGCTGTGGAGAACACACACACAATGGAATAAGACATGTCAAAAATCCGAGAGGCACTTGGTGAGACAAGGAGCATTGAATAAAAATACCTTATTCTCCAAAAGGAGGTCAACACGGCGGAAAATTTGCGCTTGTCCAGAAGCTGCTCCATAATATGCACGTACTGGAGCAACGTCACTCGAGTGAAGCGCGTCTCAGCAGTCCATAGTCCCCTGTTCTCTGCTGTGCGCGCGTGGTCGTGTTTTTCGGCTAAAAACGCCTTACTCGACATGGTCGTTTTTTTCGGGTTAAAACGCCTGACAATAAATGGTCGTTTTTTTCGGCTAAAAACGCCTGACTATACATGGTCGTTTTTTTCGTCTAAAAACGCCTTACAAAACATGGTCGTTTTTTTCGGCTAAAAACGCCTGACTATACATGGTCGTTTTTTTCGGCTAAAAACGCCTTACAAAACTTTTTCGTTCAAAACCGCCTTACAATACATGGTCGTTTTTTCATTTAAAAACGCCTGACTATACATGGTCGATTTTTTCGGCGAAAAACGCCTTACTATCCATGGTCGTTTTTTTCGGCGAAAAACGCCTTACTGTACATGGTGGTTTTTTTCGGTTAAAAACGCCTTACTATACATGGTCGTTTTTTTCGGCTAAAAACGCCTCACTGTACATGGTCGTTTTTTCGGTTAAAAACGCCTGACTATACATGGTCATTCCCCCTTCCGATACATGGTCGTTTTTTCGGCTAAAAACGCCGTACTATACATGGTCGTTTTTTCGGCTAAAAACGCCTTACTGTACATGGTGGTTTTTTTCGGTTAAAAACGCCTTTCTATCCATGGTCGTTTTTTTCGGCTAAAAACGCCTTACTATACATGGGCGTTTTTTCGGTTAAAAACGCCTTTCTATCCATGGTCGTTTTTTTCGGCTAAAAACGCCTTACTATACATGGGCGTTTTTTCGGTTAAAAACGCCTTTCTATCCATGGTCGTTTTTTTCGGCTAAAAACGCCTTACTATACATGGTCGTTTTTT